CTTCGCGCAGGTTTCGGCGGTCATCAGGCTGGCCATGAAGCGATGGTTGCTGGGCGGGGTGGGGGGCCGGGCCCTGGACGCCCCACTCACAGAACAAGCCGCGGGGCCCCTGTGGCTCGGCACAGTCGGGGGGCAGGACGGCAGGGGCCCCTCCCGCGCGGTGGCCAAGTGCTCCGGCGCCCGCTCTGTCTCCAGGTCTATGGCCTCCAGGTGAACCTGGGCGGTGCTCCGGGGCTGACGCTCGTTCTGCACGGCTGGTGGTAGACAAGTGAGGCCATGGGTCATTCACTCGCTCGACCGCCTGTCTGGGGAGCCGAGGGGGGCGATCGCAGCCGCCCCGCCCTTCCTCCAGCAAACCCTCTGGCCCAGGCGCAGAACGCAAACCCCCCAAGAGGGTGGCCGAGGGCCCCGCGACCTCCCTGGCTGAATTCGCCCACGGCACTCTGCCGACCTTCCCACCTCCAAGCCAGGCCTAAACCCCACACGTCCCTCCCCTCCCCTTTGGGGGCCATTGATCGATTCAGCTCTCGTAGGCATGAGAGGCAGCGAGCATAACAGGATCGGCTTTTTGTTAAAGGGACTTGGGGTGAATTATCGCTGCCTTTATAGACCTTTTTCCCAAGGACGGTTCCCCAGCTGGCACGTGGCGGGAAACAGGGGACACTGGCCTAGGCATCCAAAGCGGTTCTTCCCAAATGGGCAGCAGAGCCGGCACTGGGTCAGCTGACCAGACCGTGGCTCCAGCCCGGCCCTCCCTTGGCGAGCAGGCACCCGGCGGCTGGCGAAGAGAGCAAGCTCGCCGGGTCCTCCTCGCTGTCCCCGAACCCTGTTGGCTGCTCTACAGGGCTGGGGTGGAAGCCTTTGGGTCTAGGGGCCCCGGGACCCACCAGAGGGGCAGATCTGGGCTGCTCACCGTCCTTGTTCATTCCAGCCTGCAGGCACCTCTTCAAGCGGCAAGCTTGGCACTGGTTCCTGTGCGCTTTGTCCACTGGACACATCCCGGTGCCAGCCTGGCATCTGTCGGGGGGGGAAGAGCAAGGGGAGGCGGGAGGCCATGGCAGGGTCGCTGCGGCCCAGGAGGCTGCTCAGGGGCCAGGGAGGGCTTCGGGCGGGAGGGAGGCAGGGGCTGGCCTTTCGGCCTTACGAAGCACATCAAACCTTCTCCCCCCAAGAAGAAACAAGAACTGCCCCCCCACCGCCCCCGCCCCCGCATGCAAGGAGACGCGGGCTGAGCAGGACCGGGGGGGGGGAGCTTTGCCCGGCTCAGGGCTGGCCCTCCTCACCTGTAGATCAGCTTCCGGCGGACGCTGCGCTTGAAGAAGCCGCTGCAGCCGTTGCAGGCGTAGATGCCGTAGTGCTTCCCGCTGCTGGTGTCGCCGCACACCTTGCACAGGAGCAACGGGCTCCCGGCTTTGCCCGGAGCCGGGCCAAGCCCTGTCAGCAAGAGAGCAGGCCAGGGGTCAGGGGCACCCATGGCCGGGGCCGGGGCGGGGTGGGGGGGGCGCTCCGTGGGTCTCTAGCCCAGGCAACGTGAGGATGGGCAGTGGTGCCTCCCACCGCGGAGGAGCTGGGCTCAGCCGGCAGGCAGGCGCCCCAGGCCAGGCTCCTGCCAGGAACCGTTGATCCCAGAAGCAACTCCACTGCAGGTGGGAACCGAAGGTCAGCCGGAGCCCTGGCCATTTTTTTCATTTCACTTTCCAAAGCGATTTTTATGGCATGCTTTTTCTGCCATTCCCTTAGAGGCAGGAGTCCTCAATTCGTGTTTAGTCGAAAAGTCATGAGCAAGAGGACCCATGACTTTTCAAGACTGCAAAAAGCAGCAGCAAGAACCTCTTTCTCCAGCGAGCAGCATTAATGGGCCGCTGCGAGCAAGGAAGCTTGCCTGCTCAGCAGAGAAGTGCCTCCCTCCCTCGGGGCCCGATCCTTGGGCTTGTGTAAAGGAAAGGACTTCCATCTAGGCGGCAGCCGAGGCAAGCAGGAGCCACTGCTCCCCTTGGGGGGCCCCCTTCGGTCTCCCACCACCAGCTGTAGGGCAGGGAGGATGCCGCCTCTCCCGGGTGGGCTTCCCACCACATTTCCAGGGCCGGCCCCACTGGTGCTCACCCCCCCACCCCCACCTCCCTCACTGGTGATGGTGGGATCAGGCTCGGAGGGAGAAGCCAAGGGGACGACACACCAGCTGAGCAAGGAGGCATCCGTGCCCACAGGCTGAAGCGAAGGAGGAAACACCCCCCCTCCCAGGAATGAATCCCCCCCCCCCCCCAGACAACAGGGAAGAGCAGAGGGGGAAACTTAAACGGGACCTCCCAACTGCCAAGGTCTCTTCACATCTTCTACAGGGGGAGCTGAAATCAGCCAGATAATAAGAGGTTATCCCTTTCCCCCTTTCTCTCTCTCTCTCCCCCCCCCCAAAGTCTTCTGGGGCTTGTCTATCAGCGTCCACGTCTTCGTTTGATCATACAGAAGGTGCAGGTGGAGGGTTGGAGGAAGCAGCTTCCCCATCCTCCCATCTCAATCTCACAACAACCCTTTGAAGTTATAGCTGTCCCCCCCCCGACATCTGTTACCCATCTAGCTGTCAGCATCAACTTTTCAGTTGAATGGAGAGCACACCACCCCAATATTTAACACTCCTGTTTGGCTTTTGAGGAGACCGGGGTGTGTGTGTGAGTCGTCTTCCCCCTCATACCTTTCAGCCTCGCTCCAACTGCCTGTCTCAAACGCTCCTAACTCTAAGCAAGACAAAGGATCCCCTTCCTTCCTTCCCCTTCCCCATCTCCCCATCCCATCAATCCATCGATTCATCCATCCATCCGCTCCTTCCCTCCTTCCTCCTTTCTATTCATCATCAGCTCCTTCCAGCGATGCTGGTCCTGAGGAACAAGGGGGGAGGGGGGTACAAAGTGCTCTTGGGTGCCAGACCATTCCCTCAGCCAGCCAGAGAAGCCCAGTTCTACTGTGGCTCCTAAGCCGGAAAACCCTCAGGCAGGGCAGGGCAGGGCAGGGCAGGGCAGGGTTGGAGGAAAGGAGGCCGGAAGGAGGGGGTCCCAGCAACCCGGGGGCAGCTTACCTGGCGGGCTGCCCTCCAAGCCTTTGTCCATCCCAGACTCTGCCGAGGAGGAGGAGGTCGTCAGGAGGCTGAGGGAGATGCTGGGGGCCGTGGGGGCGCCGTGGGGACACAGAGGCCTTCAGGACTCAGCGTCCTCCACAGCCCCCCTTCTCTTCCGTCTCGGCCTTTTGCCCCCTTGGGGTCAGATCCAGCAGCCGGAACCCACCCAAGGCAGCCACGTTGCCCCTGGGCTGGCTGGCCGGCCAGCCCCTCCTCCCTCCCTCCCAGGAGGGCCACTTGGGGCAGGTTCCCAGAGGAGGGGTCCCTCCTGCCCTGGCTGGGCTCTTCCGGGGGCCCCCAGCCCCGCACCCTCCCCGGACCCCAGGGGAGCCCTGCCCTTCTGGAGCCTCAGAGGAGTTTGTGCGGCCGTCGCCCGCCTGCAGGACTCTCCTCGCCGGAGTTGCTCCTGCGGCCTCGAGGGGGGCAAGATTAGTCCTTCAGGCGCTGCCTAAGCAGATGCCTCCCAGTCATCCTCTTAATCTTTAGCCTGCCTCCAAAGGTGGAACCATCAGCCACGCCTGGAAGGACAGAAAAGGTGAGGAGGACCCGTCCAGGAGACCAAGAGGGTGGCAGAATGTGGTAACCAGACGCCTCGTTTGACACTGAATCTCTCCACACTGTTTCTTCCCGGCCCTGCTGAACAAAACGGGCCCCTGTGCCTTCGGGGGCGAGACAATGGCTGCTCATTTGTCCAGCCATCAGCCGGCAGGCCAGCCAAGGGCGCTGCTGCCCGTCCTCTCCTGCCATTTGATCTCTCTTCTCCCCCCCCTCGCCCCCACCCCCGCCCAGCCAGCTCTGCCCTGGCACCCTCCTTGTCAATGTTTGATGCCTTTTGGGCAGGGAGGGGGCCTGACCGACATGGGCAGAGGCTGATGGGCACTGAATATTTCATGGGCCCCTTTTTCAGGCAGGTGAGGGCGTCCGCTCTGCCAACGGGCCCTGCATCATTCATGAGGGGAAAGGTGAGGCAGAAGAAACCTTGCCCAGGAAATCACATCAGGGGCTCTGGGGAGACCTCGCCCTTCTGTGGGGATCTTGCAGAGATGTCCGGAGTTGGATGAGCTGCAAGGCTGACATGGTCGGTACCCCAGGAACTCTCCCCCCCCACACGTGGAGCGTGGAGCACTTACACCCCTTGGGTGGCTGCCTCTGCACACGCAGGAGCAAAGGTGCCCCGAGCATCAACACGGCATGGTGACCGGGGTTTAATCCCGCTTCAGTGCCAACAGCTCCACCGGGCAGCTGCCTCCGAATTATCTGCCCTCGTGCAGGGGGGAGCGCTGGAGCTGAGGGCGAAGGCTATTTTGCCACCAGAGATGCAGCGGGGGAAGCATCACCCCGTGGCCCAAGTCAAGATGCCCGGTCCCCGAGGCATCTGGGCACCTCAGCCAGAGCCGGCACCGGCACCCCTCTCCGCATCCCTGGCAGCAGCGCAGGAGCAGGAGCCACACAATGGGGTTAGCTCCCCATCGGACACTCTTCCCAAGACACCCCCCCCTTGCTAACAGTTAATGCGGTTCTCAGGCTGCTTTGTAAAAATCTCCAGGTCAGGGAAGGCCTCGTCGGGAGCAACACAAATGACACCAAAGCAGCAAGCAGGGGTCTGAGCGCTCCAGGGATCACCCGGTGAGGCGTGGCAAGAGCAAGAGCAAGAGGGAGGGAGACACAATGTGGGAGCTTCCAAGCCTGGCTTTGCAGCTTTCTCAGGATGGTCTCAGGGAGATGGGATCAGACCCTGCTGGAGGCATGATGGGTTTCACAGAAAGCTTAAGGGGATGCCAACTTCTGGAGGGCCAAGCCTCGGGTGACAGGAAGAAGTGCCTGAGGAGAGGGAGGGGTCACTCAGCTGCCCACTTGGGGTGCCGTCCACCTGCTCCCGCTTTGGCACACCCCTCCCTTTGGGTTACAGGCCCTGAAAGCCCACCTGCAATTCATCCCTTTGGGCTCCAGTTGTCTGCAAAGGCAAAACAGCAAAGAGAAGGAAAGGGACCGGGGGGGGAGGGGAAACACACAACAAGGGGCAAAGGGTGTGTGTGGCTGTGATGGCATCTGATGGGACCACTGGGGGATACAGGGAGCTGGACTCAGGGAGCCCGGGGCCTAATCCAGCGGGGCGCTTCTTAGGTGCTCATGACTCCTTGTTCATGAACAGCTCTGTCGGGGCCACCAGGCAAGGAGCCTGGCCAGGCTGGTGGGGGCACCTCTCCAGTGCTGCTCCTTGTTCGGGGGGGGGGGGGC